ACACCTATCTCCCTGTGGTAAGAGACTTAAGATACCTCCTCTCCTTGGTACCTGTCAAAGCACTCAAGTCACACTCCATGGAAGGTTCCAGAATGTACATTCCCACCCCCAACCCAACCTCTGCTGCAACCTGAAACCTCTGTCTCTTCCAGGATACAGGATCTTGGCACTAGAAGCTCTTCATTCCACAGACCCCTTAATCCCATTCTTTAACCCCAGGCAAACTAGGGGGTGGGGGGAGGGGCCTCAACCCAACATCACAAATCTGATTGGTAAAAAGCCATCAGAGAAAAGTTTGTTCCGTTTTTTCACTGGGCCTAGACATCATTCAATGACCTAGCGATGAGACCTGGCACTGGAGCAACCAAGAGATGAAAGACAGCGAGAAAGGGAGGACCCCTGGGTGCTACCTCAGGTAGGTACAAGGGTGCCATCCTAACAAGGTGCATCCAAACATGCAGGCTCTCTAGGCCCAGCATGTCACGCCATACTCCACTCTCCTGGGTCTCACTTCCGACTCCTGGCCTCTGCTTTACTGTAAGGAGCTCTTGCCTGTCCCCAAGTTACCCTCAAGTGCCACAGCCGAGGCCCAAGGCATTGCCTAATTCTCAGGGTTTGCCCAAAGGCACTGTAGCAGGCCAGCCTAGCCAAGCCCAACGCCCCCTTCCTAACAAAATGCTCACCCCCAGGAGACTCCAGGGTGGGTCAGCAAGAGGTGGCCTGGATACCCCCACATGTAGAGGATGAACAGCCCTGTAATGCACTCCTTCGTGCTACACAGACACACACTATGCACACACCACACATGTCAAAATCCTGTGTCTGCCATTTCTGCTCTTTGGACAGGCTCAGTTGCCTTCATCCAAAAGGAGGTGAATGATATATTGTTACAAAGGTTGAGGGTAAATATTAACTAAGAATTAGGAAGAGAACTGAGCTCTCTGTAATAGGCACTCAATAAAAGGTAACCCTAACTTCCATTGTATTGGCAGCTAACTCTCCTTGGGCACTTTCATTACCAAGCACTTTCACCCATCCATTGTGAAATAGACACCCAGGTGACAGAATGAGGGCAGGAAGAGCAGGCATGAAGATATCTGTTTTGCAAATGGCAATGACAAGATGTAAAGTAAAAAGACTCGCCCTAGATTACGGGGTAAATTAGTGGCAGAGTTGAGATTCGATCCTGGGGCTCTCCTTAATCGCAGGATGTGTCTCCATCCTGACAAACTTTTTGGATGCAGATAATACACAAACATAAGCTAAGAGCCACAGTAAAGGCTAAAGAACAAGGGCCCTGGCTGGGTGCCCGTGGCTCATGCCTGCAATCCTAGCTACTTTTAGGAGGCTGAGATCTGAGGATCACAGTTCACAGCCATGCTCCTCAGGAAAAACAAGAGCATGTCTTAATGAGGCCAGGCTACCTGGGACTAGCCAAGTCCCAGAAGAGATGAGACTGAGGACTAAAACAATGACTCTTTCCCCCTCTAGGGCTAGGGACAAGAGGTCCCGGCTGAGGTCCAAAAAGAATATCAAATCCACAGATCAAGTATGTTACTCACGAGTTAGACCTGATTCAGAACCTTCCACTCTGGTTCTAACCAATCTGATTCCTTTCAACAAATTAGAATGAATGGAACAGCTGACCCACTCAGATACACCAACATTACTTCTGGCTATTGCACAGGAAAATAAACGTTCACATCAAATTCAACAGATCCAGGGAACAGAACGGTGCTGTGGGCGGCCTGGATTGCTGGGGAAGGGGGTAGCAGCTGGTACCCAGAGGAGAGTAAACCATGTCTAGCATCTTGCTGATGTTGATAAAGAGAAATAAATACTTAAGAGTCCTGTGCAAAGTAAGAATACTTTGGAGGCAATGCTGATTCTGAACTCACTGAAACAAAGTCTGAATGCCAAAGACACTTCATTCTCAAGGGATTTCAGGAATCCAAACTCCTGCTACAGCAGAGAAAAAAAAAACAACTTTAGTCTTCTACTAGAAACTACTTAGAAAAACAAAACACAAGACTGTCAGTCATCATTTGGGGGGGAGGAAGGGGGAGTATTCTCCTTCCTTGCCCCTTAATAAGGTCTCATTGGAACCCATCAAGGGCCACAGGTAGAGACTTTAACTGGCTCTGCCCTCCCCTGGGAGCTTAAGCCAGCAGTGACATCACCTCCGAAGTCTGAGCCTGGGCAGAGGCAGCCAGAGCCTCCCCCACCCCTCCCACCCTGCCAGGCCTTGGGGAAATGTCTCTACTAGTCCCCATAATTAAAGCAAAAAGGATTTTATGCCTTTCAAGATGGAGGGGAGAGAAACAAAAATCGCAAATAACTATTCCAGAAGAACACTCCCTTCCCCCACAGAGCAGAAGCAAAAGACTATGGGGACACGGATGGACCCAGGGACAGACAGACGGACAGGGACACCTTACAGGGACGGACGGACACGGACACACACACTTTTTTAAAGAAACCTGTTTCAGTCTCTGGAGACTGCTGGGAGCTACCTCCTGCATTCAGACACCCAACTGTGAGAGGCTACCTCACTGGTCCCCAGGGGGGCTCTGACCTCTTTCCCACGGGGGCCTTGGTGCCAGATCTTGGCAACTTTTGGATACTTTCTTCCATTTTAATCCCAACTGCCTGTTTTTTTTGTTTTCTTTTCTTTTAGGAAAGAGGAAGAGGGCAACACTGGGCAGGTATTTTATGTCACACAAGGCAGCCTCCTTTAAACAAACCAGGTATTTGCTCTAAGAAAGGGCATTGCTGGGAAAGAGAGAAACATTTATAAAGTAAACTTCGTAAAATAAAAAAGCAAGAATGCCTAAGCGCCATGCTTTAGTCTGAGCCCAAACCACAGGCTCTGTGCAAACTCTACTCCAGAAGGCCTCTCAAGACTCCCTTCCCTTCTTCCTTTCCCCACTGGGAATCTCCTGCCTCCTAGAGCTTGCGTTCTCCAGTGGGGACAGAAACAATGCCTCCCACTGCACCATCTACCTCCACCCAGGCCACAGAAAAGCCCAGAAACTATAACCAGAGAATGGCCATCTCCAGCGGCCTCCGCAGGAATGGGCGCTCTGGGATGGAGTTCACAGGAATGCTGTCTCACTCCAGGCAGGCAGAGGGTACCAGCGCGCCTTCGCAGGACCCCACCTCCCTGGAGCCCCGTGAGGCCTCCTCTTGGCCTGCAGAGCGGGACAGGAGGCAATGCCAGGCAGGTCAGGGAGACACGCCAAGTGGCTCCACTCTCTTCTCCAGGCGTAAGCTGAGCCCCAACAGAAACCACAAGCCCCAAGAGCGACTTCTCCAACCTGAAAACCAGGAGTGCACTGCAGACCAGAAACCAGTCCGCCTACACCACCACCCCCAGCCCCAGACTCCCCTAGATTCAGCACCCCACAGACTCCAACTCAGAAGGCCACTCAAGAGGAGTCGGGGGTCCTCTCTCGGACTTCAGAAAGTTTTGGAAGTGCAAATCACCTGGGAAGCAGCGTCCACCCATCTGCCTCCAAAACTTGAGGACCGACCTCATCTCGGAAGCCAGTCCCCAAGAATCCCCTCAAACAATAACTACTAGTGGCTGTGATTGCCGAAGAAAATACTAGCCGAGGGTCTGCGCCGCCCAGGGACGCGTGCAGACGGCCCATCAGAAGCTCTGCTCCCGGGTGCCGACCCCTGCCTTCCCTCCCTGCCCACGTGCCTCCCTTGGCCAGAACTAGGGAAGTCGAGCTGTCCAGATGTGGTGGCGAGACCGCCACTTCCGGCAGGGAGAGAGCCCCGGCCGCGCACCTCCCTCCGGCCTCCCCCGGGACGGCCGTGCCGGGAAGACCCCCCTCCCCCCGGGGCTCGCAGCCGGTGCGGGGGCCGGGGGCGTGGGCACCCAGCGTCCGGCGCTGACACCTGGCGGCGGCCCAGCACCCAGCCCACGTCCAGGGCCGGCGCTCCGGGGCGGCTCCCAGGAAAGGGTTACAGGGGCCGAGAACAAAGCGCCCCCATTGGGGAAGGCGGGCTAGCGGACGGCGGCTGGGGCGGGAGAGCCACTTTCTGGGGACCCCCTCGGCACGTTCTTTGTCGGCTTGGTCTAAAGGCGATCGAACCCCACCAGAAGTGGATGCAGCATCCTCCACCAGGGCCGCCCCCAGCCGCGAGCTCCACGTTGGTCCCTCGGTCGCCCCCCCCTCCCCGCGCCCCGGCTCTACAGGGCGGGCCAAGGGACGGCGCGCCTTCCCTCGGCGCGCGGCTCCAGCACAAAGCCGAGTCGGGGGAGGGGGAGAGGGGATCGCCGCGACCACTGGCGTGGAAGGCGCCCCTCTGGGGGCAGCACCACTTCAGCCGCTCCCCCTCCCCACCCCCAAAAAAGTTGGGCTGCTCCGGGATCTCCAACGTTCCCGAGCCAACTTCCCGGAACCTCCCACTGCCAGCTCGGCTCGGCGCACCTACGGCAGCTCGAGGCAAGCCCGAGGGCCCCGCGCCGCGCGCTCCGGGCCCCCGCGCGCCCCTCCGCCGGCTCCCCCGGCCAGCCCCGCTGCGCCCCAACTTGCCTGGGCGCAAAGGGCAGGGTGGCCCGGGCTCGGCGGCGCTGCGGGCAGGAGCCCGCGATCTGGTTTAGATTAGGGTCTGCGGAAGGGGCGGCGTGGCCGCGGCTCCTGACCTCGGGGCCCCTGGCGGAGGCCCGGCCGCCGCGGTGCCCCGGGCGAAAGGGGGGCGCGCGGGAGACCCCCCTCCCGGCGCCGCTGCGGGCCGCGGACTCCGACACGTGTGGGCACGCTTTACGTAACTGAGCGCGGGGCCCGGCGCGGGCTCCACGCTGCAGACGCCACCCCGCGCCCCCCGACGGCGGAGTCCTTGTATACTTGCAGGGTTCTCCATCCCCGGGCCTGCCCGGCTAGCGAGCGCGGGAAGCCGTCCGCGATCCCCTCCCCCTCCACGTGCACCGGCGAGGGGCGAGCCCCAGCTTCCCGCCGCCTCCCGGACCTGCCCCGGGCCGCACTCACCGGCCAGGCCGGCTGCAGGCGCAGCGCCAGCGCGCACAGCCACAGCCACAGCGCCGCGCGCCTCATGCTGCCCGGACCGGCGGCGGGAGCTCGGCGGGCTGCGCGGGTCGGGGCTGCGAGCTGCGCGGGGTTCCCGGCCGGCTCCGCTGGTGGCGCCGCGCGCGGCTCTCGCGGGCTCCTGGCCCAGCGCGCTGACTGCTGTCCCGGGCGAGGGCGGTGAAGTCCGCCCGCTGGAGATCGCTTCCGACTGCCCGGTTCCCGCCGCCCAGCTCCGCGCGAGCCTGCACCTCTGCCGACGAGCTCCGCCTTATAATAAACCCGCAGGCCCTTTAGCCGTTTGCAAAAAAAAAAAACCAGCTAGCCCCCCACCCCCAGCTCCGCCAGGTCTCGGGCCGGCCCCAATCCCCGCCCCGGGACCCCGCCCCCCCGAGGCCCCGCCCCGGGCCCGCCCCTCGGGTCCGAGCCGGCCCCGCTCCGGGCCGGGCTGGGGCCGAGCCTCGCCTGGCTCCCCAGCGGCGCTTCCCCCCTCTCGCCCGCCGCCCCGCGCCCCGCGCCCCGCCCTGGGTCTGTGGCTCTCGGCGTCTCGGGGGGCGTTGCTCCAGCACCGAGGGGTTCCACCGCCCGGCCCGGGATCGTGAGGGCGTTGCCCGGGATAGGGGCTGCAGCGGGTCCTCCGTGGACGCGAGTCTGCAGCGCCCTCTGGGCGGGGATGCCGGACGCCTTCCAGGTGCGCCCGGGTCCTAAGATCGAGCTTTCGGGGTCCACCCGGGAGCCCGAAGGCGGTGAGGCCTTAGCCTGGTGCACACTCTCGGTCACGAGCCCACTGCCGCCCGTCCTTCGGCTGCGGATGCGCCCGGCCGCACGGTCCACGTGCTCTCTGCCTTCACACAAGTTCTGGGAACTCTGGGCCTTACTTTGATAGCCGGCCACTGTGGAGAAGACCGGTTGTTTTAAAAAGAAGTTTTCAGAGACATTCTATAGAAGACAATGCCTTCTCTCTTCATACCCCGAGCCAAAAGGCAAAACAGACAGCTGCTTTGTTCCCGTGTGACCTCAGGCATGCCCAGCTGAGGAGCACAGGTTGTGTGCCCTGCTTCTCGGCCATTCCTTGTAAGGGCCTAGACCTCAGAAACTCCATCCCCAGTTGGCACAAGGCCACCGAGAGCCTGTGCGTGTCATTCAAAGGGGAAAAACTGGATGGGCCCTGCTCGCAATCAGAAGCAGGAGAACCCAGTGCCCAATAACCTTAGCATCTGGGCCTAAGGCACCAAAGAAAGATGACATTTTCCTTACTACCATCTTCCCCCGGCAGAGGTGCCGCCGGACTCTGTCTGAACTGGAAACCAGGACATAAAAAAAATCCATCTCTGTTCCCAGCCAGCTATGTCAGAAATACAGAGGGACGTCTTTTGGGCCTTTCCCTAATACCAGAATGTATTGAATAATAACCATTTCACAAGCCAGATCTATTTCATTAGCATTAATTTCCCCAGTATTAACGATGTCATTTGACATCCCTGAGCCATTGGCAAACAGGTATTTTTATTCCAATCTCAATTACTAATATTAACCCTCAGATCACTCATTATACTTCATACAATAACAATATATAGGTAATGCTAAGGAAGGGTTGAGGAGGCTCTAAAGATCAGAGGCTGGGTGGGAGGCACAGGCAGATAGCTGGTAGAGAGGAAGGAAAAAGTAATAGGGAACCACGTAAGAAGTTCTACACACTGTGGGCACAGAGCTGTTCAAGATACAGAATTTGGTAGGTCACGTCTGCAATCCTAGCTACTCATGAGGCTAAGGTCTGAGAATCACAGTTCAAAGCCAGCTGAGGCAGAAAAAGTCCATGAGACTTTTCTGAAGTATGGTCCAAACTGTAGAGCACCAGCTTTGAAGCAGAAAAGGCCAAAGGAGAGCATTCAGGCCCTGAGTTCAAGCCCCAGTACTAACACACACACACACACACACACACATACACACGAGTTATCAAATGCAGGTCCAGGTGGCAGGCCATTTTTAGTGTCAGTTTGTCATGGGCAAATTGGAAACCACTGGAGCTGGAGCCTGGGGACTCTTTGGCAATTTGTCTGATCAAGACTTATGAGGAGTAACCTGATGACAGGATTCAGTATGCCTGCCACATCTCAGTCCTGCGGTACTCCTCCTTTTTCAGTCCCTGGTTAGAGGAGTTACATCTGCTGTGATTGATAAGTTCATGTGTCTGGGATTTCTGATACTGTATTGAAAACATAATTGTTTATTGGCACAAATAAATGATCAGTGTGTGCCTTATGGTGTGCTGATAGATAGTAGTGGTTCACATGTTTGAACAAGATATAGAATTGTTCTCTGTTCACTTAGTCTCAAAATGGAATAGCAGTGGTCAAAACTGTTACTCAATAAAAGAGTGAAGCAAGACAGACTGAAAGTTGAATGTAGAGTCACCAGGAGCAGGCCCAGACTCTTCACCTCCATCTCCTAAGGCTCCTCAGACTTTTAAAAGTCTTCGGTGTTGTAAGCCTCCCTGGGCCCTGCCTCATTCAAGAAGGGAAATTGACTATGGGTCCCTAGATTCTGCTCCATCTTCAGGAATGGTTTCCTGGCACTAGCCAGCCCCCTTCCGGTCCCTACCTCAGGCCGTACCCTGTTGGAGAACTCAGGGATGATGACAGTCATCACTGCTCATCACGCTCTGTCCCTGCCTTTGCTCCTGAACCCCTCAATCAACTCTCTCTTCAGAGAGGGGAGGTCTCAATTTCCCCAGGTCTGTCTCTGGGGTGTACAGATGTGTGACAGGTCCTCCTTAAGTTTCCCCCAGGCTGCTGTACATCTCTGAGGGCCTTGGTGACAAATCAAGGGACAATAAGACTAGGGACCTCTCCAAGTGGTTCCAGGCTCTGAAATCAACTTTTTAGATTTTTTTTCAACCCAATATGGAAGAAAAATGTATGTGTTTGATGTTTTCTCTTTTTATTTTCAAATTAAGAAAGCTTGAGGTCAGGAGAATTTAATGGGGATCAGCTGCTGGGCTGACAAGTGGGCTCTCGCCTGTAATCTTAGCTACTCAGGAGGCTGAGACCTGAGGATCGAAGTTCAAAGCCAGCCTGGGCAGGAAAGCCTGTGAGACTCTTCTCCAGTGAACCACCAGAAAACCTGAAGTGGCGCTGAGGCTCAAGTGGTAGAGCACTCACTTTAAACTGGAGAGTTCAGGGACAGCACCCAGGCCCTGAGTTCAAGCCCCAGGACCAGCACCAAGACAGAGACAGAGATAGAAATGCTGCTCTTGACAGGGCTGGCAGGTGGGGGAGGAAGAACTTGGGTGGGAAGAAGAAATCTAATACCTGACCCCAGAGCTGTCCTGGGAGTGTGCTGGGCACCTGAGCTGAAACAGGCCTCCCTGCACAGACTGGCAGCATCAGTGACGCTGAAAACACATTGACTTCTGCCCAGGGATTCTCTGCTAGAGGTGTTCCTCTTCCCAAGCATTTCCAGTGCCCCACAGAGCTGTGTCTCAGGCCCACCCCAAACGAGGAAGGGAGACTGAAGAAGGATTGCTGTCACATGCCTAAGCGAATCCACTTCATCTCTGACTCTGCTTCTGCCGCCTTAACTTCTTCCCTACTGCAGTCGCCATTTATTGCAAACATCTTCAGGAGGAAAGCAAAGTCAATCCCCACTCCAGGTAGCAAAGACTTGCTTTTTTTTTTTTTTTTGTCGGTCATGGGGCTTGAACTCTGGGCTTGGGCGCTGTCCCTCAGCTCTTCAGCTTAAGGTGAGCGCTCTGCCACTTGAGCCACAGCGCCACTTCCATGCAGACTTTCTTAGCCTGACTATTCCTGAGATAATGACCAACCAGGCCACAGTTAGCCCAGGTCTGATTAAGCACACATGCATCTGGCCTCTTCCCTCTATTCTCGGAAAGCTCATTGTCAGCACCCTGAAGATGGACCCGAGGTCACTGAACCTCATTACCTGTTCTTCCCAACTTGGCGGCATTGGATTTGATTTGCTACTGCACCTCTCTGTCGTTGCTTATTGGGACAAGTGTCCAAGCCTGGCTCTTGGTTCTGTTGGCGTCTAGGCTGTGGCCCTGAACTTTTGAAAGAAAATATTTACAAGTGGTCTCCCCACTGGAATACCATTTGTATTTTGTAGATAAGTCCAAAGATTAAAATTTCAAAACACACAACACACAACACACACACACACACACACACACACACACACACAACACATATGCATGCCAGTACTGGGGCTTGACTCAGGACCTGGGCATTGTCTCTTAACTTTTTAGTTCAGTGCTGGCACTGTGCCACTTGAGCCACAGCCCTACTTCCCACTTTGTTGCTGCTTAACTGGAGATAAGAGTCTCATGGAACCTCCTTTCCCTGGCTGGCCTCAAATCCTCAGATCTCAACCTCCTGAGTAGCTAGGATTACAAGCATGAGCTGCCAGCACCCAGACATTTTGAGTTCTTAAAAAGCATCAAACAGTGTTCGCTTCGGCTAAATTGGACCGATACAGAGAAGATTAGCACGGCCCCTGCACAAGGATGACACACAAATTCATGAAGCGTTCCATACTTTTTTCTATATTGGATTTTGGTACCCTGGGTATTGTATATATGTTTATCTGAGCTAGGGAAGGGAAGGGGAACAACAAAACGGTGACACAAAGGACAAAGTGGGAACCTATGCAACAACGATACCCACAAGAAATATGTTGAAAATGATCTGTACAACTGGGGAGGGGGGATAGGTGAAGGGGAAAAGGGAGAAAAATGAGGGCGGGGTAACAAGTTAGATAAGAAATGTAATCGCTACCTTACATATGTAACTGTCACCCCTCACCTTGACAATAAAATTTTTTTTAAAAAGATACAAAGCCAGTTCTTATTTTTCCCTTTTATTAACAACTATTTTATTCTTTATTTCTTTGGATACTGAGATGTTTACCTGAACCATACACCAGAAAGTTGGAATTACTGGGTACAATTAGTGAATACATGTTTGTTTCCTTTGCTTTAAAAATAATTTTATTTGTTTATTTACTTATTTATTATCTTTAAGTAGTTGTACAAAGAAGTTCCCATTCTACAAAACAGTATATGAGTCCAAAGTGTCTGACAACATTGACACCCAGCTCTCTTAACCCATCCCTTCTCTCACTTTTTTTTCTTTCATTGAGATTAGGTGATTACATAAATTCCACAGTACTGTGGACTAGTGATACTTAGAGTCACAAACATTTTAATTTTCACAAGGCAAATTGTCATTATCATGGTCTACACACTTTGTGAATTCTATGAACTTTGACATTACAAGTTATTTTTTCCACATCAGGTGATGTTTGCA